TAATTTGAATATAGTATTTTAAATCGGTGATTGATGTTAGTCTTACCTTAATGCGCAGCCCTCGGCCCGTACTCATAAATAGGTGAAGCCGTTTCATTGAATCGGAAGTGTTGATGCTCACATATTATTTACTACAATGACTCGTTTCAGTGGAAAATTAACAAATAACTTAACGCAGTGGTGAACGGTGACACGAAAGTTGCAGGCGCAAATAGTTGTATACAATGAGTAATGCAARCAAAAATATCGAAMACCRCCATTTTTGTTTAACCKTAACGGTTCTGTTCTGTTCTGCAGACCGAAGGTAAATATTTCATTCTATTATCACTTATCCTCCTGGATTTAAAGAAAAATTTCTACTAAACCGTTTCATGTCGTTTTCGATATTATGAATCAAGATTTTCAAGAAGAAGAATTCGATACGTATCAACTGAGAATAGTTACGCACCGACTCGTATCGAAGTCTAAGCCCGATACAGGCCGGTACGTATCGCTTGTATATTGAACGTGTAACTTCTTGAACACTCAAAATTAAATCGATACGTATCGATAAACTCCAATTTTTTCTTTGATAACATTCGACATAACACGTTACACGACACGTTGTAATGGAAACTTGTTTTTAACGTAAACCATATTATAGACCGTCGTTTAAGGTATGTGATCTCGACCGTGATATAAATTCGTCTACCGTGGTTCACACAATGGTTATACGGACTTGCGAAATATGCTCCAAAAGGTATAAAGCAGTAATATTTTTCGCCATCGGTCAATAAAACTTTGTTAATTACAACTCATCTGCTGTGCTGTTCAWATCTCGATTGAATTGTTTGGCATCATCGTCCTCAAGTTAATATTATTGAAGAGTGGTCTGCAGAACGACAAATAACCGAGGGAAGAGTCTCGAACGAATATTTTTCAGCCTCGAAATGTTCTGTCTGTCGAAATATGTCTTCGGTTTTCCAAAGAATACCAGCAAGGAAAGATACTGCACATTACGTCATCTATATTATTCAAAAGTTCCTTAGAACATTATTTCAAACATATTTTTTATTTATAAAATATTATCAAATCTGTTTACTTAGATGAATTTGTAATACACAAATTGAATCTCTATAAAAATAAGCAGCATAATTACATGCCATATATAATAGTTTATAGAATAATATATAAGAAAATAAATATGAAGTATTGTTTAATAGTGTGGATATTGCCACACTTCGTTGATGATATTTACATACCTAGTATTGATACGTGTGCGTATCTAATGTGTTTGTTTAATCCAACTAAGCCTCCATGAATCAGTCACGTTATACTTCGTTTATTGTTTTTTTATGAATTTATCATAAAAAATGAAATGTAATATAAGTGTAGTGTTTATAACGCGTATAATACATTAATTCTATTCTAACACTCCATTATATTTTAACACTATAATATGATAATATTTTATGAAATAAAAATCTACTAGAAAATAAACACTGAACTAAATTCATTATGCTTTTGACCAATCGACATGCTTACTATACGTCTATACCTAATACTTATATTAGTAATAGATAGTTGACAGAGTACGATAATACCTAACAGCACTTGTACCTAATATCCAATTATGCAGAAACAAATTCAGAATATTTGTCCTTATTGTTGTTAATTTTTACACACCACCTTCCATTTATAAATGTACATTTTTGACGATATAAATAAATTTAATAGTGTTTTATAATATTAGGAAAAACAAATTCAACCAAAATGAATATATAGTTATTAACTGTTTTAAAGGTCTTAGCATTTATTGGTTTATACCTTTTATAATCAATGCGTTAAATTTAAATAGTTAGGATAAATTAATTAAATATAAACAAATAAATTAAAAGTTCTGAATTCGGTAATAGTACCACGTATAGATATAGTATGTAGATAGATACTCAATTTTAATAGTAGTAAAAATATTTAATTTTCATATATAGGTAGCATAATATATTTGAGAATAATCTTGAATGATAAAATGTTAATTGTATCTATAAAATGTATTAATATGAAAATATTATGTAGGTATTTTGTACTACCCCTATAGTCCCACCTACACACAAGTTTCTACTTTATATCTGAAAAAGATATTAGAGATTTGTTAGAGATCTAAATATTGTATTCAGATCTCTATCAAACATCTAATTCTGCGTCATGTATTTTACAGCATTCAGTACCTACGTCTTATACTCTTTTATCTAATTATTAATTTTTCAGGTAGTCTTCTGTTCTTATTCACGCCCTTGGGCAGCGCTCTGTCTTCGATAACGCTGGGCCAATACGGTCACAAAACTTGCATGATAATAACCAATGTGCCGTTCATAGTGTCTCAGATCATGTTCTTTTACGCCAACAGCGTCGGGATATTGTATGCATGTTCGATACTAATGGGACTTAGCGTTGGATACTCGGGCGGTCCGTCTTCCTCCTATATTGGCGAGGTGTGCGAGCCCAAGCTGAGAGGTGCGCTGATGTCGGCAACGAACGTCTTCTACTACGTTGGCTCATTACTTTTCACGTTGATATACGCTATCACATTGGAATGGAGACTGACCGTGCTCATTGGCATGTCAATCCCAATCGTGACCATCACCATACTATTTTTGGTTAGAAGAATATTTAATATTATTACACCTAGCTAATATTATTGTTTTTGATATACCCTAAATGGGTAAGTTTATCTATCACCAGCTAACGATATATTTTTAAATACGAATATTTTATTTTTTAATAGGTGTTTATTAATTATTATTTATTATTCGTATATTTCAAGATATAATAAAACCAAATAAATGTTGTTCTGTGACAAAATAATTATTTTTTACCATGTAATGATTATAATGTCGTTTAAATACATACGTTTTAGACACCAGAATCTCCAATGTGGTTGTTGACCAAAGGTGAACCATTAAAGGCTCAGCGAACGCTTGGCAAATTAAGGGGATGGTCATCGCACGAAACGGGTTCAAGCAAGGAGTTCAGAGAAATGATAGCTTATACGTCTACTGTGGTACACGGCAGTGAGGACATCGATACAGGTATGTAGGTACTTAGTTATTATACCTATAGTGTGAAAACCAGTACAATTTTGTATAAACTGTTACTTAAATATATGGTGATTAGCGATAATATTATTGACCTATTTATTTTGTCAATCCCTTTATTTTATGTTGAACGTAATTTATCGTAGGTATAGACTATAGGAAACAATATATATTTTACATTTATGCTTTTTTTTTTAGACGAGAAAGGCATAACGAGTTCTTGGGGACAACTCTTTCGGCCTGAAGTGTATAGACCATTCCGTCTGTTACTGGTATATATTTTTTTTGCAAATTTATTGTCTGGAATACAATACGGACCTTATTTAGTGGCAGTTTTTACTGAATTCGGTGCACCCGTTAACGTCGAGTTTACATTAGTAAGTAGTGTCTTTGATTGAGGTGTCGTCTAACATTTAAAATATAATATGACAATTGTTATGTATTATTTTTAATAACATCAAATTTTAATTATTTTTACAATATTATAGGCTTTTTCAGTATTTTTATCGATGATCGGAGGAATAATGACGATATTTTTGATTAGCAAACTTGGCAAACGTTTCCTTACATTCTCGACGTTATTAATTTGCTCAATTTGTTATATATTAATTGGGTTAATCGGAGTGTATTGGACGGACTCAAAATCTATTACTTCATGGTTTGTGTTAATACTCTTTCTAATTACTACCTTCATGTCATCATTAGGGATAATGCCTATTGCGTGGGTACTTCTTACCGAAATATTTCCAATGAAGTGAGTAGAAAAACAAACATTTTATTTTACTTTAATTCAAAACTTTGAATTATTTMAATTTCAGAAGTAGAAACATTACCTGCAGCATTGGAGCAGCAATGGGTTACTTAATATCATTCTTCATGATCAAGTATTATCTTGAATTGTCCAACTTTGTGAACTTTTACAATACGTTTACATTGTTTGGCATTTCGGGCTTATTTGGCACCGTATATTTCTATTTTTATCTACCAGAAACTGAAAATAAAACATTACAAGAAATATCTGAGTTTTTCAAATAGAATATCTGTTATCATTATTTAAATACGAATTGAATGCACTGACATTATTAATAAACTCAATAAGGAAAGGTAAATTCAAAGTGAAATAGAAGACACTCAACAATGCAATATCTAAACAACCTATTTAACCTACATTCATGTTTTTCGAAGGAGATCTCTGCACCGTTAGTGTTTACCCTTGAATGGTCTAGTTTTAAAATTGAAATGTATTTTATATGTTACTAAACCACCCTAGTCAAGTTTGTATTATTATATGTTATAATTAAATATAAGTATACGTAGTAAGTTATAACTTACAAAATATGTGATGATCAAATATTTTGTTAAAACAAATTATGAGAATAAATATAAATATTCAATTTAATGCATATAATAAAATTACGAACATATTTTTGTAAAACAATATTCATTATTTTGTGTTCAACGAATTTTTTTTTTATATCTATAGTATGTTTATTATTATTTATTATTAAAGTGACTATTACTATTATTTTAATACTTTCGTCTCGCTTTTTTTGTATTAACTTGGAAATATTTATTTTTATTAATATAACATTTTAATCTAATATACTCAGTATATTATACTGTAATATTCTTAATGTTTAATCTTAAATGTTTTGTAAAATAATGATTTAAAGCTTAAACAGTATTGTAGTGAATCGAAAAGAACGTAGTTGCTCAATATATATTGTATATTGTATAGTATTATATATTATTATTATTATTTTATAAGTATTTATCTTCTTTTCATTTCTATGTGATTTACCATCATTTATTATAGTCGCATATATAGTTGTATTTTGGAAATTCTGAAGATAAAGGTGAACATCTATTAGTAAAGTTCGACCTAAAAATTAGTTTTTTGAATTCTGATCAATAGACCGACACGTTTTAGCCGAGTGTCCTGCTTTATCGAAAATTTGACATGTTATAGTAGGTTTATTATTGAAATAGCAGTTTTCTGTTCTATGATTATTTTTGAAGCATATTTTACTTTGTTGTGGGTGAATATTATTTTTGTTTCAAAAGCATTTAATTGTGGTGTGATTGTTGAGTAAACAAATTTCACACTTTTGTATTTTATTATTAGCATAATTTTGATTAAAAAAGTTATTTCGTATCATTAGATTGGGATGTTTAAAAAAATTTTTTTGTTAATGCTTGAATTTTTACTCTCTAATAGATTTTCAATTTTCTGATTTAGTTTTTCATTATTTTCATTAGAGATTTTTAATTGTTCATTGAGTTTTTCGGTTACTTTAATATTTTTAATTGCATTTTTTATACCCGTACCTATGCGATTGATCTATTTCTCCAGTTACCATAAATTCGATAAAATAAAATGTTATCTTTTAATTGTTTAAGAATATTATTTTCCTTAATGTCTATTTGTCTAATAATATTTGGTTTTAAGCCCTTCATAATTGTTTGTATTATTCTGATTAGGGCATAGTGGGAGATTTATTCTTTTAAATAAAGATTCTGTTTCATTGTCATAATTTATTGTTTGTTCGTCGTCTAGTTTTTGTTTTTGTAATAGTAATTTTAACATATCTAGCTGAGCTGTTGGTTTAAATTCACTTTAGTTTGTTTTCTAAATCAGCTCATTTTATGCCGTTAATTAAATTTGATTCATTATTATCATAGAAAGTTAAAGCAGGACCTTCTAAATATAAAGGTAAACATTTTATTTTTTCTTCATCAGACCACCCGTTTATGCTTGCTGCTCTATTATATTTTATAAAAAATATGTAAATATTTTCAGAAATTAGACCAGAAAATGTACTGGGTTTATAATATGGTTTTTTATGTTCATTTTGTTTGCATTAAAAGTATTGATAAAATCATTTGGTGTCGTTTCTCGGTTATGGTATTGTGTTATTCTATTTTTTTAATTCAGGAACTATACCCGTAGCAAATAGGTTTCGTTTGGTGAGTTCAGTTATTAATTGCGGTTTTAATAATTTATAGATATGTTGTGAAGAGAGTGTTTATGAACTTAAATTATCTTCAGCTTTTTCTGACATTTTATTTTCGTTGTTCATTTGTTATTTGATAGGGAAATTAGTTTTTTTACTCATTAATTGTTATTTTTTGTTATTATTATTTTTTTTTTAAATTTTAAAATTTATTAATATTTTGTTTTAATTTTAATTTCGTGTTACGAGCCACGATTGTCGATTTGGGTGCCACTTATAATAAATCGAAAAGAACGTGGTTGCGCAATATATTATATTATATATTGTATATTATTATTGTATTTATCTTCTTTTCATTTCTATGTGATTTTTTATCCATATATATTGTGCACACGTATGTAAATACACATATACGTATAAGGACTCCAATTATATAGTAAATTAACTTACTCTTTAGTTTCAAGTTTGACCGCAAACTTGTCAGGTGTTCAATGAATACAGGAATAAGAAGTAGGTGTAATTTCAATTCCCTTATAATATAATGTTAATAAAAAACGCAAGTGATATATTTGTAATGATGTGCGTTTTAGCCATCATATCTTTTTAAATTCAATATACATATAATAAAATAATTATAATAATTGTTAGCCATTAAGGATAAGATAGGACATACGCATACACACATACACACATACACACATACACACATACACACATACACACATACACACATACAATATTAGATATAAGGAGCTCCGTTTTTAATCACTGGGCCAGACGAGTTGTCGCCGTTCTTTTGGTATAGACGATCATAAGCRAGTGTAAAATACTACGCAGATCGTCTATACAGAAAGACGTAATATTGTTAAAGTAAAAAAATATATTTGTGAACTAAAAATAAATTAATAAGTTAGTTTAATGTATATGTGCATTAGAAATAAATTAAATAAAAGTAATATTAATAGATCAAAGAAAAAGGTTTTATTATTTTAAAATACAAATCGGATACCTCACCTTGCACCTCAAACGCTAACCACTGTTTCAATTGAGAAGTCAATTCAAGGATCGGAGAGGTAATATAAAATAATTTATTATACCTCTTTATTAAATCATTACATATTATTGATGTTAAGTTAACCTATTTATTGTTTTATAAAACAAAAATACTTTAAATATACATTAATTAGCTCTCCACGTATAACCATCACCAAAAGTGCACGTAGGGAGAGTGTCGTTGTGTCCAAGAGCCCGATGAGTCGGTGAGGTAATTTATTTAGATTGGATCAAGGGACATAACTTTATCTGACCACAGATGTCTATTATTGTACGAACATATTATGTGTGACTGCGTATATAATTGTATAGACATGCGCTAAGCGTATGTATTAGGGATTATGATGATGATGCCACTATTATAGTTGTGAGTGGCTCTCATAACAATATAATATACTTTGGAAAATATTTCTCAATAATATGAATATTTATTTTGATATATTTAAGCCAAAGTACAAGAGTTATGAATTGTTTTATTAAATTAAATTTTACCCTGTTTAATTTATATACACTAGATTCGATTAGTCTAATTGTATTTATTCAATTGAAATCTACCCATTGTAAATTGATTCATATAAATATAAACACTTTGATAATTTTTTTCTTCATATCTATTACACGCGAAACTTAAATATACTTTTAATATAATTTTAGATGCATCGAATAAAATTACAAATAACAGAGAAGTGCTCCGAGAACACAAATTTATTTGTAGAGAAACTAAAATGCAATTAAAAACTATCAGCCAGCTGATCATATACATATTATACATACATCAGAAGCCATAGCTATATTAAAATCAGTCGAACACCCACTTTTCAGTAATGAGGTTTGAGACAAGGTTTCATAACATACTCAGTGAATCAGTTAGATCAAGTCATATAAATTTAAAGTCCAACACATATTTTTCCGTTACGCCACAACTAAGAAAATTACCAATAAGAATGAGTAACTTACAAGTAGATTGACGGCCATTTTCGTACTGCGGAAGGTAACAAAAAATATACAAATTCGTTCGTCATACTTGATGTCTTAACGCTACATTTTCACTCATATCAAGTCATCAGGATATAACGACAAAAAAAGTAACAAACAACGCTTGTTTGTAACTATTGTTCACTATTATTTTTTAAACTCATAACATGAACAAATTAAAATTATAAATGCGCATTAAAAAAAAATCGAGATTGATAGTATTTTAATGTTTTATGAAATTAATTCGAGAAATTAATAGTATGTGTTATGAAAAATTAACTATACATGAATCATCAACGCGTTAGATTAATCGTTCGTGTACTCATAATAATTGTCATGGAATTGATCTAAAGTTTTCATAGCGAAAACCACTGATTGTTGAACTCTCGCTTGGACATCATTATATCCTAGACAAGGTAAGAACTCGCTATTATTGTTATACTTAATGAGTACTTAGAATGATAGAATTATAATATTAATAGATGTATAGATGTTTATATACTGAATTGTGTCTATGCCGAAGCCCATCTTTACATATTTTGGGATATGAGATGGAATAAAATAATTGGATGATTTTATTTTATTGTGCTATTTATTAAAAAATCACTGTCAATGTACTGAGATGTTAGGTTTTAAAATTTAATTCAATTCGATGAAAATACAATAACAACCAAAAAAATATAAGTTTTTTAAAGATATGTCTAATGCAGTATAATAAATATATATATTCAATCAAGTCATATAAAAAAATATTATATCAAGTGACTGCCCATACAATATGTTAATCTCCTGTCATTAGTCAATAAGTGYAAAATTTGTTTATTGGACTTATTAATTCTAGATTATAAATAATTTTAGTAAACATATATTTAAAAAATTCAATCGATAAAAACTAATAACTAAATATTGTATATAATAAATAATAATACTATGATCATACGTCATCATATAATACTGAAAATAGAAAAGCGAAGATTTTGTACATTTCTAATCAACTTTGAATTCTAAAATAGATAATACTCAGTACTCACTATGAATTTTCTTATAAATTAATATATTAAACCCTTATTTTTGATTTTTAGCATATTTTTTTGCTTTAAATAATATATATATATATATATAGTAAAAATAACTCCCAAATTAAAATATTTTTTTTGCTAAAATATAAAAAAAAATAAAATTGAGATGATTTCATTTATTATTGGCAATAATTAAATATAGGAAAATGTAAAGTAAAATTGTTGAAAGGTAAAATTGGAGACCCACGCGTCATATTAATATTTTCATTGCTTTTCTTGAAAAATAAAAATAAATTATATCAATATTAAAAAAAGTTACCACATATTAATCGTAGAGCTGGTAATTCCAATCACATACATCTAATAATAAAAAATATAACTATTCAAGAGTGAGTATTCTTATCCATTTACACATTCTAAAGGATTTTATGGGCCTCGGTCAACAAATATTAAGTTAGAAAATTCAGGATTATCAGTCTTGCATTCTTCATTCAAATTCAACGGTATCACGTTCGAAGTCAAGTTCGAAATGTGTTCTAGAGTACATAAATCTTCTTTACAGTTAGGTATTTGTAAGCGATAAGGTTCTGACGATGATTCATTGCGCAAAAACACCTAGGCAATTTAAAAAAGGCGGGTAAGTCGTGGATGTCGCTCTGCTGTATAGTATGTTACAAGTGGGTTACTGTAATGGATGGAATTAAATTTGAATCCAATGATATTATATCATTGTATATACGAAAAACGATTCTGAGCGAAGACGGTTTATCTGTCTAGGATATATTATAGATTATTAAAAATTTTCAAATCTTTGATTTAAAAAGAAAATTTTTTATGAATTTCTAGCTAAAAATAATTTGTGAATTTTCGTGATTTTTACGTATTTTGTCAAAATTCAAACTTTGAATGCTTATAAATAAAAATTTTGACTATGAATTTCTTTTATTTTTCAACTGCTATTGTAACAATATATTAAGAGCCTTGTATTAAATCTTCAATATTTTCTACCCAAAAAATAAATTTTTATCGATATTAATTTTAAAAAAAACTGATAATGATCGAAAATTGCATATACCTATGAATAGTACAACATAAGTCAAACATTTTTGAAAATTTCATGGCGGATAGAATATACTTATGAAAACATTTGGTGAAAATTTCATGTTTCAATGGTCATTTTTTTTAAAGTTACATCAATAATCAAAATAGATTTTGTCGAAAAATGAGTATGCGTAAAATTTCCCGTTTTTCCCTTAATTTTTAATTTGTTTTTCTTGATCATTTAGAAAATTATTAAGAATTTTTTACTTTTAATCCCCCAAAGTACCAACTAGATTCACTTTCTGATCGAACGAGGTACTGAAGTCAAAAATCGAAGCATTTTTACTGCCCCAAAACGTGATGACACAAAAAAAAAAAACACACACATCATGGTAAAATCAATAATTTCATCGCTCCGCTCAGAATCTAAAATATATATATTATAGGTATATAAAATTGTGATCTGTTAAATACGAATAAGTTTGAAAACCATAATTAATTTTAATAAATACCTTTAAGTAGAAATTTCCTTTCTTTGATTCGTGTAGCTCTAGTAATGCCAACATATTATATGTGGGAATCTGCTCATCCCATACACCTAAGGAAATCAAAAGATTGGACACAGTTGAATCGTGACCGGCGTAGGCATACAACTGATGTGTGGACTGTTTGTTTATTTTATTTTGACTATTTTCCAATATTTGTTTTAGTAACGGGCCTTAAAAAAACATGTTAAAATATATTTTTACCTAGGTATTGTGTCTACAATTATTCGTTACCATATACCTCCTTTGAGCTTTTTCATTTCATCATTGTACGCATTTAATATGAAACTTCTAGATGTTACTTTGGCCAATTTCGTTGGATATACTTTGGACGTCCAACTTGGAAGGGTAACTCCGTAGTCTGACTTGAATAGAAAATAAATGTYATTAAATAAATCACGATTATATTTTATGGTTTTAAAGCCATAAGCACAATAATACAAAATGTGTTGTATACGAATTTGATGTGATGTACAAATTCAAAAATTCACTACTGGGTAACCTACCTCGGCTTTTAACGTACTATAAATTGACTGAACATCGTCAGGATCTTGAATGGTCAGTCCAGTGTGCTTGGACAGATAACTATATAGATCACTGTAAGTGTTGAGCTCTTTTAGGACTTCGTTGGAATTCATTATTTTTTGTCTTTCTTCGTAGTACCTGGGACAGTCTATTCGTACTAACAACAACTACAGCACACACATTTGTATACTGTCAACAGTAGAAATACGGAGATAAATTAAATATATTTAACATTAAAAAAATTACTCGGTCGTCTTTCAGAGGTTCTGAATGTATCGGAACGGGTTGCCATTCTAAATATCTATTCCATTGCTGTACACCAACTGGCTTGTACATGGCAGACGCGACTAGCTGAGCGCTCATTAGGGTTCTGTCCACGTCAGTACTTTTAAACGTGACTTTTTTCGAAGAGTACAGAATATCCAAGAATCCAGAGTAACGTTTTCTAATAAACTTTCCGAGCTCATATTGTTTTCGTCTACCATTCTAAAAATGAACAAAAATATTTAATTTTATTATTCTAATATTCGTTAATATCACTCGTATATTTGTTTCAGTATTAAACTGTTAATATGGAATATGGATGAAAACCCGATATTTAGTATTTTTTCTCTCCATGCACTACAGCAAATAAAAGTCTATAAACATTATGTACCTAATTGTATATTGTTTTGCAAACACTGCAACAAATTTTATTAAAATCCAACGATTCACACATTGAATTCACATTTACGTAACCTTACGATTACGTAAGTATTATTTAATTAAAATACCTAAATTATGCAGTCATGCATATTAAAATGTTTTTAAAATAATGTAATATGATAACGTGATATTCAATGATTACAAAAATAAACAATTTTAAACATTTAAATTATTTATGAACTCTTCCAGTATATATAATATATATATATTTATATATAACTAATGAATATATTATAGTCTATAGTAATTGATACAGGCATACAGCGATATGATAATATGCATTATACCAATATAATGATAATTACAACACAGACCTTATTGAGTTAAGTATATAATTATTGTTATTATTATTCAGTATTTATAAATCTTATTAGATCATTTGAGAAAATCTAATTAAATCAATAATTGAAATAATTTGTTTACAATTTAATGTTATTAGTGTATTATCTATTACCTAAGTACCTATTGTATAAGTGAACAATTATAATATGCAATCCATACATTTGTACATAATAACTAAATAAAGTTAACCTTTATAAAATGTGGCCAAAATTTACAAGTGCTTGATATTATATCACAAATTTCTTGACTCCCCCACCAAAAAATAAATAAATAAATAAATAAAAAAGGGCGTATGTAATTTGCGCCAAAATCAACCAAAAAAAAAAAAATATATGTAATTTGCGCCACTTTTTAAATTTGTAATTTGCGCCAAATAAAAAGGAATTATGTTATCTGTGCCCTTGAGTTCCTACTAAAATTGTAATTTGCGCCACTTATATTATAATAATATAAATAACTCCATGTTTATTAAATATTTAAATTATCGTTAAGTAATAAAACATATTATAAAAATCAGTCATATTAAACTCGTAATTATAAATAAATGTATATAAAAAATCAAACTCTATGCATATTAAACATCTAAATTGTCGTTAATTAATAAAACATATAAAAATCAGTCATAATTATAAATAATTCGACGATATTGAGACGATATGTGACACGCGTCGGACGCATCGGTACGTATTATTGTATATCCTATGCGATATCACTAAATTTATCTGCTGGTAAATTCCAACTGCTATTAAAGTTGAAAGTGTGGCGCAAAATACATGTTATATTTTTTATATTTTGGCGAAAATTACATACGTACTTAAATGTACCTATTCGTGTCGCAAATTACAAGTAATAAAAGTGGCGCAAAATACCATCTCCCATAAAAAAAACCATCTCAAATAGGTCGTCTTTGAATTTTGGCATCATGTTATAATAATATATAATATTTTGTACAATGTAATCGAGTATAAGTAATAAGTTAACAATAAATATTAACGCTCATCGTAACAACACAATTAACATTCTAAAGGCTCTGACGTAGTTACTTCTCATAAATACAAATAATAATATTTACTTGCATTGGTCAGTTGGCCCCACCCGAATGGCTCCCATGATGAATTTGAGTACGGGTCCAGTGGGTACGTATCAGCCGGCGTCCGTTGTCCGTGCCTGAATACCTATAAACAATTTCAAAATGAGTTTTGCACATACTATTATACATGTTGTAATATGTTAAACGTTACAGATGCACTGGAGTTAGGATAATATATTATTATTATAGTCATATAAAAATATTATTATTATTATTATTATTGTTGTTGTTGGCTTACGTACCGCATGAACCAATCTCAATGTGTTCGAATCAAATTTGTTTACCGTCTGTTCATTTGAATAAAAATTACTGTGGTGCACTGCAAAAACTGCACCTGGACACATCAAAAAGATCAAAAGCAAAACGCATAACGCAAAATCGTTATTGGTGCTTTTAACCACGTTCATGATGTTCGATGGTAAACGTTGAACGATAACTGTCGATGAATACGTTATTAAGAATAAAAAATATTATGTCGTACGTAGAAGAAACAAACAACAACAATAAAAAAAAAAAACAGCAGTTATATTATAGTATATGTATATTGTATAGTAATATTGCTTCTCGGTCCGATTTTTCTGAACGACGCCGCACTAACAGCTGGCCGTTTAAACGACAGTTAGACATCACTGTGAGTACGCGGTTTCGGTGATGGAATTATATAACAAAATATTATACATTATGTTCAGTATAACCTCGGTGCAGTAGTTGTTTGTTATTATTATTACCAAACTATACTAAATAGGTGGTAACCGGGCCATATGGTGTGCGTGAGTCCTGGTTGTTGGTGGAAGGAGTTAGTAGACAACGGACCGTTGTGGTTTATGTGCATATTATCTACTACGTAGTAGTTCGCTGTATAACGTAAAATTATTATTATAATACGCACTGTACCATACGTTTATACTCGTTTACATATAATAATAATAATATTGAACCTTGGCCAACCGTTCTTCGGTCGGGTCGGGTCATCATCAATCATTTTCGTACTCGTMGTTAAATAAAATATCAAAAACGATTAACACTCGTCCCGCCGCAGATAATTTTTTGAACTCCTAAAATTGTGAAAATGACTCACATCGAAATAATCACGGTCTTAATTCGTGATTTACGGATAAAACTATATTATATTATTGTACATTATGTAGTTGCAGGTACTCGCAAAACATATATAATCTTAAGACACAACCGTAACATAAAAATAGTTTGTTATAGGCAATTATTGACCATGAATTTAAACCAACGTTCGTAGGTTTTAATTCGACGCTGTAAATTGCACATTTCATACGGCATAAATTAAAATATGTCATGTAAAAACCGTCAACGGCGTCAAAATTGTATTCTAATCGACTTTAACAGATAGAATAATATATTTATATTTATAAATAATATATAACATTATTTAAAGGAACTTTTGTTTGGAATCAATTTCAAACAAAACGAATACAACTTTTATAACTTTAAAAGGGTGATTTATTTTCACAATATCAGGTATTTTATTTTAATAAGTTAAAAATTGTGTTATTTAGATATATAATAAAAAAAATATACATAGAAATTAATAATATTAAATAAGATTTAGCTTGCCAGTTCATGTTACTAAATGTATTATTTAAAACTTTAGAGTAATATAATTTAAAATAAGTAAGGTGATTCTTTTAAAGGTAAATTTTTTAGAAAATAATTATTGTTATTGAGAATATTTTTTTATGTACTTTGAAGTTAATTAGTCTTATGAATTTTAAATTCAGATAAACATATTAATAATGCACCAACATTTTGCAAGGTATTTATATGTTCCACAGTACTCCATTTATTTAAACTTTAAATATTTTTAAATATAGTAAAATTTTCGAGATTCAATATTATTATTGAATTTTTCAAAAAAATATTCTCATTATAAAAAGCAAATAAAATATTTTTCAAACTCATTGTTTTGTAATGACTAATAATATTATGCAATGGAAATATTTCCAAAAACGTTAATAGTTTTGACAATAGGTATCTTAAATAATGAATGTTTATTTTTAAAAGAAACACCGTGTATAACAACTGATTAGTGATTATTGTACTAAAATTACCTACGTTATATTTATACATTCTTATCTGAAATTTGCACGTCTAATTTTGTTCAATTTGAAATGAATGAATGAGATAAATAAATGAAAAATAATATTTGTATAGAACATGGTGGATGAATATATCGTCTATATTTTATTTCGTATATTGAACATAATTAAGTTTAATTAAATCCACTCTTTGATACACCTCACTATAAGCAGATAATACTAGACATATCGATTTATGTAACAATCATTTACAATAATTTTAAGCGTAATTGTAGATTATGAGCGGTACTGATTTTACCATGTTGTATGTTTTTTTTTTTGTGTGTGTACACGATAATTTGTCGAAATAATGCTTCGATTTTCAACTTCAGTAGCTTTTCCGATTGGAAAGTTAACCTAGTTGGTGAATTAGGGAAGTAGAATTTTGAAATTCTCTATAATTTTCAAAACCACGACCACCGGGAAAAACCCAAAAAAAATTAAGGAAAAACGGAAATTTTTACGCAAAATCAATTTATTAGAAAAATTTATTTTATACATTGGTGTAACTCTCAAACAAATCATTGTCACTGTAGACACATGACATTTTTACTGAATTTTATACTGGCATTTTACATGCTTCATAAAATTTTCAACACATTTTAAAATCTTTTAAAGTTATTTATAGACATTTGAATTTTTTATCTTTTCCGTTTTTTTTCTTTATAAATGACAGTAAAATTTTATTCGTTTAGTAAAAAATCTTCAAAATTGAATACAAAGCTCCTAATATATTTTCGCAATGGTAGTTTAAAAATATTAAAAATACAGTCACAATTTTCTTGTTTTTAATAAGCATTGAAATTTGGAAGTTCAAATTTTGACAAGATACGTAAAAATCTTGAAAATTTGCAATTTATTTTGAATTAAAAATTCATAAATATTTATCTTTTTATATCTAATATTTGAAAATTCAATACAAGATTCTTCATGAGTTTGTCTACTTTTATGAAATAAAAAATGTCTCCAGAAAGTCAAATTAAATATTTATGATCATTTGAATTAATTACAACATTGGATATTCATTCAATTATGTCTCGTGTATTCTTAAATTGTATTCAATAATGAATAACTGTAAAAACTTGAAATTTACACTGTATGTTTATTTCATTAATTTCTATACTAGATACAATTTTCAAAACATTTCAACAATTTTTAAGTTATTTATAGACGTTTAAAATTTTTCATATTTTTTTAGTTTTTATTCTATAAATGTCAATAAAATTTTATCCGTTGGGTCAAAAAACTTTAAACTTTAATACAAGATGCCCCATAATTTGGTATAATAGCAGTTGGAAAATATTAAAAATACAAAGGCACGTTTTTTTTTATAATCATTTAAAGTTCAAATATTGACAAAACATATTTTTATTGAAAATTTACAAATTCTACAGTTGTTAAAAATTAGTAAAACGTTTAACTTTTATAGCTTAGGATTGAAAATTTAAAACAAGGTTCAATGTGAGTAGTTAATTCTGCTGCAAAAAAATCTAAAAACTTTTCACACACAATTTTTTTTTATATTTATTTTAAGTTCAAATTTGGATGAAATTACATATTAAATAATCAAGAATAACAATTTTAGTTATAGTTGTAATTTAAAAATATTATTCGTGGGTACTTAAATTTTTAGAGCATACTTTATATTCTAATATTAAAAGCTAATTTCATCCATTACTTATATTAATACTTTATAATAAATATATATATCTACTATATCTATGAATGACAGAGTGAGTTGGATTGTTGGGTATATAATGAATATAATTTAATATAATTAACTATAGGTATCTACATTTTTTTTTCGAAATTATAACAATATAATAAATTAATATAGTATAACATATCTTAGACTGATAAACTGTCTCCATTCAGAATCGTTTTTCGTATACAATGATATCATTGAATTCAGATTTAATACCATCCATTACAGTAACCCACTTGTAACCTACTGTACAACAGAGTGACATCCACTTACTTACCCGCTTTTTTTTAAATAAGAGCACTAAAATGGTACAATAAAATGTATTCTATTATTAAACCTACCTATAGGTACACATCTACTGCGTACACATGAACTATCTTGTTGAGTTTAGATTCATATCAAAACGCTGTGGCCTGTGGGCTGTGACTCTGTGAGTGATGTTTAATTTAATTTAGAAATAAAAATAATACATATAGATATGTGTTTTTTTTTTAAATAATAAAACTATATTTTTCATCATATTATATACATAATCTATACTATCTATCAACTACGTTCTGACGCAGAATCATACTTTGCATCTGAATAATATTATCGTTGGTATATCATGACGTGTACAATTTACCTCATAATATTATCTATTTTATACAGAGTGCAATGTATGATATATACGATACAGTTTACGAGTCACTTCACCAAAATTATTGAAATAAACAAATCCTACGCAAATTGTTAAAAATATGTTGATGAAAATTAAATAATTTGTAGTAAATAGATATTGTTCTGTAATATTTCAAAATTATAGCTAAATTAATAGATAAAGATTTAAAAAAGATAATTACAATTGATAATAATAATAATATTCAATGAAATATGAATATATAATATTGCAACATTATATTTAAGTATTAATATTTAATATTAATTTTTATGCTATATACTGTTGTAGTACAATTTTGTTTAAGGCCTAAATAGATAAAGTTCATTAAAAACTCCGTTTTAAAGTAGGTACCTGCCGAATTTTATTCATAGTAATAAATTAATCTTCAATACAGCATTTCAACAATACGTCCCAATGCTTGATTACTTTACGATTTATTTGAGCATATAGATAAATAAGTGATATATTGTAGTATTTTGTGGTTAGGTCAAGTCATTCAATACAAATATTATTAAGTTTTTTTTAGATACATTTCCTAACTCTACGAGTATACTAACTTCCAAACAATTATTTAAAATATTATTGTTACGCATATTGCAAGTAGATACATAATATTATCTACAAACTATACAGACTTCAATAATTCTTAGTGTGTCACTTTAATAAGCTTGTTTAGTATAATGGATAGAACCACGTCAACCACTTACATATAGACAGTTACATTAGACAATAAAGTCCATACAACACACACCTAATATATTCCTATTTCCTTTAGATACCTATACACCACCGTAACATTCTGATTTGGCATTTAAATATAAAATAATAATCACTAATTACCATATAAATTTTTAGTGTTTTTATTATTTATTTAAGTAGGTAACTAATATTTTTAAATTTTTGTAAAAATAATTTCAATGCTCATTTAAATTATTTATGTTTATGATAAGCTAATACATAAAAATGTCTGGGTGTTGCCTCTCCAATAAGTGAACGTATATATACGTTAAAAATCCAATGTAAACCGATAAAAAGGAAGTTTTGCAAACAGTGTTTACACTCTAAAAAATTATACTATGGAGATGTCATTATACTATAC